ATGAGCTCATCAGTCGTCATTTCATCATGTCGGATTCACACATACAGTAATTCGTACGCCATAAACACCTGAGCGAACCTTATGCGGTAGCGTCAACGAGCTCATTCGTTGGAAATGACTTCTTTCTAACCCCTCTCTCATTTTTCCTAGGTTTACTTATCGAAGGATAATGTGGCGGGCGTTAATCAGTTCCCCGTATATCACAATTTTTTCCGCTATCAAATAGTAGCATCGTTTGAGCCAGTGTTTGGGCAATGTAGCAACTTACGGAGGCCCAACTGATCATTGCAGAATTTTTAAGCTCACTGAGAATTAATCTGGAGATCAAAGATAGTTGCAGTCTTCAGTCATTGCGAGCAAGGTCCGAAGTGCAGATTGCCTAAGTGATTGCGATGATTTTGTCTCTTTCTGTTCTCGAGTTGATCACGAGTTCACTAAATGACCAGAGTAGTACTAAAGCTACAGTAACACTCCTTTTTGGGTCGCTGAAACCCCGTTATCTATTGCTGGACGTGACGTGAATTTAAAAGGTTCCGCCCACGTGAGATGACCTCTCTTTTTCTGAAAAAACCATCAGTCCATCTCCGAGAAGCGCTTTTCACCGATCATGCAAGTTTTCGAGTGCATGACAAATTGAAAATGAATCAAATGTTACGATTTCAATGACATAGCTCGCAGAAGTGCTGATGTTTACAAAGGAAGAAGCATCACCGTTCATGTAAACATCTGTTTTGTTTCAACGTAATGCACGGTGTATCCAGAGAACGATCAGCAAGTATTGTTCCTAGCTCCCTCCTGCTATTCGCGGTTCGTTCCTCACGTCAGCGCGATGTCCCCAATCCATAACTCCGCCGGTCAACTGATCTACTGGCTGTGGAGTGTTCTCAGAAGAACACGCGCAGTACAAACAGCGGAAACGAAAATGCAAACAGATCTCAATATCCGCTGTCGAGGCCAAACTGTCGGCAGCGAAATGGCGACCACTTGCAAACTGACAATACTTTACGCTCAATTTCAGTACTTCCCACGCACTGCACGGGCACCAAACCAAGCTCGTATGATCGAAGCACAGCATTCGGCAGAAGCCATGCGTGAAGCGTTGATGAGGATGGTAGCCAACGAATACTCAGTTGCCAGATATCCTGACTGGCCAAATTTGTCCCATATCTACGTGGACGGGTAGAGTGATTTGCAAATTCGACGAAATGAGCCTGAACAATTGGTCAATCTTGAGTTTCAGAACTACCACTTATGGGCAACTATGGGAAGGAGTGCCGGAATCGGCCGACTATCTGGCGATCATCTTTGAAGAGTATGACGGCATCGGAGTGCAGGTACGAGTTTATCAAGCAGATATTACTTTGATCATTTCTGGCCCTTCACCGTCGAGAAGCTACAAATGGCTCTTCATAATCCTCGGTCATGCCCAAAGATTGCCTGCCCTTTTACAATGTATTCAACGAACCTTCTCTCTGGAAAATGTGGAGAAAATAGAGACTCCACTGTCTGATGTTCTTTGGAGATGATTAGCTGTACGTTAGTTTTCCCAAGGATTCGAGCGACTTCAGTCAGTGCTCCTATAGCCCACAGTCGAAGTTCTTGCAATCTTGGCAGTAGATCAGTAGGGATTCAAGCCTTTCAAGATTGAACTTTCATTTCAGGCTCTGACGAAGACGAATAACCCGAAACGTAAGCCTAATAAAAAGTTCAACCTTGAAAAGCTTGAATAATTATTCTTGCTCCCCATAGCTTCAAACCAGTTGAAAAACTTCTTGCCGATTACCAGCTCTAGCTAGTGGTTGGGCGACTTTATTTAGTCATCTTTTTGTTGTAGCGTTAGCGATTTTGACGGGAGCAAAAGCGAAAAGATGGATTTCCGTCCGGTCCGGTTGACCTGTTACTTGGCTTTCTAGTTTAAATG